ACTGTTCTCAAGTTTACTAAAATCACAGATAACGGCTACTGAGCTGCAGGTCAGAGCAGAGAGCTTGATTCCTGCTAGTCCTTGACAGCAAGACTGCTGTAACTACAGCAGCAAATCCCCCAGAAGCAAACTTAAAACTTTCACAATCTTTCTGCTGGGCTCCTACCATAGCAACAAAATACTAAGAACACACCACTATTTCCAAAATATTCTTTTCACCGTAACTGTCCTCATATTCTATTAAATTGAACAATTCTATTTTGAACAAAGTAGTATTTATTATGAAACTTTTTAATAACTACTCTTAAAATACTAAAAATAAAACAGCAGTAATTAATCTTTATTTAAACGGTAATTTAATGTGTTAAGAGCCCAAAATGAAACTAGTCATTAGCTCAATAGTAAAGACTGCCAGAAGCTTCATTACTGATTAATAATGGAGAACACAGTGTACTGAACAGCTTCGCCTAATCCCAGAAGCAACTAGGAACTGCACTGCAAAAACTTTCAGTCCTAATAAATTGATTAAGCAGTATCATTTTCTTTATAGTTATAATTACTGGATATAGTGTAGCTAAGCTTTCATTCTAATCTACATTGATCAAATCTCTATTTCAAAAACAACGTGTCATATATGTTTATGAAGACTTCTGTTCTGTAAACAGGTTAAAAACCCTGTAACATACCTTTCCATCAGGTGACTATTAAGTATGTTGGGACAATGGATTTAGTTACTTTTAATAAACATAAAATTTCTATGATAAATATTTTGTGTTAATAGCTTCATTGTTAGTAAAAGAATTCTAACAATATTTAATGTAAATAGATTTAAGAAAGCTCACCAGTTAATTCCAACTGATGTCAATGCTTTACCTTGCTGATCAAAATTGTCACTTACAGAAACCTTTTTTGTTTCATCCAGTTTCCAAGAGATACTAATAAAGACAACCACTTAAGATCCAAAGAAAGCTGCAAATTATTGAATTGCTCCAAAGTTCTTTGAATGAACACAGAAGTATGTGACAGTAGCTACTACTACTAACATAGCTATTTAAGTGGGAAAAGATACAAACAGTAAGCATTTATGGTGAAACTGTTCTACAACACCTTTGAACAGACACTAGAATTAAACACTAATTTAGAATAATTTCATTTAGAAACAAAATAAAATTATTAAGAGGAACTACCCTCTATGAAATTGATTCCTTCAATATAACCTTAAAGAACAGTCCCCTGGAAATAAAATGAGAATTCACTGCCACAGCAAATTTGACATTCAAATCATTAATTAATTTAGTACCCTCATCAGCTAACTGAAATAGCCATCATTTTTATAAGCCATCAAACTTACTGAAACTCACTGAACATACCCTAGTAGAAAGCTATCAAAACCAAATACAAACCCACTATGTGATAACTTAAAAGTTCTGTATCATGAACTCTGTTCAAAGCAGCAACATACAAAATCTTGCAGTATCTATGAACTGGCACATTACTGGAAAGCAAAAATTCTAGGCAGATCCCTCTAGCCAGGAAAATACTTTTTTCCATTTCTTCTAATCTGTCTGCTACCAGATACAGGATTCAAATGCTTGAGGAGTGAATGCTTCACATTTCTTTTATATAATGAAGTACAGAGATCAAACATCTATCAAGCACTACCGCTGATACCACTGAAAGCAAGTCAGGAGGAAGAAAAAAATCAGGTAATTTTGGTTAATCTTACCAGTTCATCTATGTCTCAGAAACATTATAAATATTAATATATATATAAATATTAATGAATTATTGCATATGAGAAAGACAGAGAAAAATCATCCTAGAAGAGACGATAGTATTTCAAAATCTCTTCCCAGACTTGCCATCTACAGTCTTCATCATCAAAGACCCTGGTGCAATTATCTCCTGCACAGTTCTGGAAAATCAAGCTTGTTTGTTTTTGGGAAGGGATACTTTGACAAGGAGTTTCTCTCTTTGCAGTTTTGTAAATGCACACAAATTGAAACATGAATTTATGAGTACTAGCATGGCAGTTTATATGTTTACTATGAATATTTCAAAGGCCTGGTAACATTCCTATTTGTCCAACTGAAAGTGCACTAAAATGCATTGGAAGTACTGCTGTATAATGGTTCACTTCGAGTAATAAATCCACACTGACAGAGGAGTGTAGTGGTTTGGGGCATTCCTTAATGCACGTTTGGTAAGAAATGCCATATCTTAATAGAATATATAATACTTGGGGTGTTCGCAAATGAACGTGAGTGGGTAATTTATATAACGAGAGAGACCAATCCATCACACGGTGAGCAAAAGCCCATCTGAACTAAAAGATTACAAAGACTCTGCCTTATTCCAGGATCAAGTGTGGTTCACAGGTCTTTTAACTGGTGGAATCATTAGCAACTGCGTAGGAAAGACCTGAAGAACTGCTGGGGGAAGAATGAAAGAAACTTGTATTAACAGTTACATAAGACCACTGTATATGTCCAGAGTACATACATTTCTTTTTGCAGCACCAACTCTTCAGGTGAATTATTACTCCCCATTTTTGGAGCTGAAGATCTCTAAGAGGGTGTAACCCCATCACTCTATACCAATTCCTCCTGCTGTCATGCAGTCAACATCCTTCTAGAACCTCCAAGCAATCAGATGGGAGCTCAATTAAAAAAGCGTATTGTTTTTGTTAACTGCACGCCATTTCCCAATTGCAGCTAATAATACAAGCCACAGAAGAGATGATCCTGAGACAAATTAGCTTATCATTTCAGGATTATTCAAACATGTCTACGTAATCTACAGTAATTTAGTGGATAATAAGCTTTGTTCTTCCTAGGTAATAACTGAAAGTTATTTTGAATGTCCACATTACCTGTTCTGTGGCAAACACAACATTTAGGATGAGACTACACCAGCGATATATTACCAGAAAGTCTAACAACAACCTACTCAAATTAAACGTATGTCAGATATTTATCAAGCATTGTACCATATATAAGGTAAGAACAGCAAGCAGAACAGAAAATATTATTGTGCTCATATGTTGAATATTGTGCCATTTCCTACCTTAAAAAAAGGCAATAGTAGAAATACAGAAGGGTACAAAGAACAGAAATGGTGTTGATTGGAGATACTGAATGGTTGGATGCAGGGAGTAAGTGAATAGATAGTTTTTGTAGCCTAGAAAATGCAAGATTGGGGTAATATGGAAGAGAAGATAATGTCAGGAATAGAGAATGACTGCTTACCATTTCTCCTGACATAAGGCCTAGGCTGAACCAAAATGAATTATCAGGCAACAGATTTAAAAGAAATAAAATACTACCTTAACTCACAGTGATAGTATGGCTCTGTATGTTGAAAATTTAGTGGAAAATCCCTTAGGCACATTCGGGGAAGAAGGTCCAACTGAGTCTATTAAGCACCAGGATGCAGATACAACTTCCAGCAGAGAAGGCCCTGCATGCAAACTGCAGGAAACTGGCTGCGTACTTTGTATTTATCCTGTTTTTGCACTCTTTCCCTAAGCATTTGCTAGCGATATGATACTCAGTCTTGCACTTTGATCCTGCACAGCATCTGCTTTGCAGCTGTCCTGTGAGCAGAAGGACCTCTCCCTGGCCGCAAGTGACGGGAGAAGTACCACTGCTGATCACAAGCGGCTGGAAACAAGTGCAGCATACGCCTCTTCTCTCTCAGTGAACTTACAAACACTTCCCAGCCATGGGGAAAACCTCCCCATTTTGCTGCTTATTATTAGAAGTGGATAGGGCAGGTGAGGGTGGGAATAGGGCCTCGACTGGAAGGGGAGAACAGTGTGTGGGAACTTTTATAAAGCACTTAAACAAGCGCTATTCTGAAGAGTTATCACCAAAAACATACAAGCTTATTTGTGATTAAACTTCTGGCAAGACATTTCATGTAAGACACATTTAAATTGTTTGATTATTAGCCAAACTGAATAATACACATATAGGAATTGGGGAGAGAGAGAAAAGGAAGAGGGAAGAGGAAAAGCATGCATCTGTTATTTTAACGTAATTTTAAAACAGTACTAAGGTTTAAGCTACAAAAAGCAAGTATTTGCTAGATATGGTTGGGCATACTGTTCTTCAGTAATGTAATTAGGGATGGCAAAGGAACACATCTGAGTTTTAGAAATTAAGTTTCATTTTGATGTAAAACAAAACCAAGGCTTTTAAAATTCTGAGAGGCACAAGCGTGTGCACACGATGGAGGGAACAATGCTGCCAAGAGTGCAGAATATGTAGTAATTACAGGTATCATCTGGGACATGGGAACACTTCAGCATTCTAAAACAGATACCACATTTCCACATCCCAGTGTAATGGCTGACACGCTAATGCCTCCCCCTCTTTGTCCTACGAAAAAACCCAGTGAAACTCATCAAAATCAGTCTATATATTCTTGCAAAACATTTTTGTTTGCAAGTGACATGACAATAACTAATTAGCAACTGGCAATTAGAAACATGAAACTATTACAGTTCAACTGAAAGAAAAGAAACAATAAGTCATAAAAGACAAATCATTTTCCACCAATTGTATGAGTCTTTCATAATAAATCTAATAATACTGGGAAAACAATCTGTGCTTTTTACTGCAGTGTCTTCCCTGACAAGGATCACTTAAAGAATTACAGAGTTCCAAAAGTGGCTTTGTTTTGAAATGTCACTGACAAGGTAACCTAAAAAGAAAATTTTCCTTCTGATAATTAAACCAGAGTCCAAATTAATCAAAGGATAAACCAGAGTCCAAATTAATCAAAGGATGATAGGAAAAACTAAACTTCTTTGACAAGTTAAGTACACAGATGTAACTAGGAGCAAACCCAGAATATGGTATCACCACAGTAGCACTATTTTCTGTTATTTTTCCTGACGCTGTACTGATAACTTGAAGTTCTCTAAATCAAGACTTAAATCATACAGAAGTGAAATAATTTAAATAGCCACATCCCCCCCAGCTTATTGATCGTACCTTAATTTGTGCAAAAGGTCTGTCAAAGTTTCCAACATAAAGAAGACCAACATTCTGGGTGAGTAGCCTAAAAAAAATGAAAAAAATCTTTTGAGATATCACTTTACATCTGTAAGTTTTTTTGCATGTCCAATAGTTGTTACTGAACCCTAGGAGGGTAACAAGCTTCATTACAATAGCAAGAGCTACCTTTGCAAATCTGATTACACAATTCTATTTAACTACTACAAAAAAGAAAAGATGTGCATTAAAGATGAATGCACATTGGTAATTTCTGTTTACGGTGCAAGCACCTCTTCAACAAAATCATTGCACAGGCTTCTTTGTGATGGATGTCACTCAGTAACATGGAAGAACAGCAGGTATGTGCCTTTTCTATTTATTAAGAGACCATCAGAGACAAAGGGACAGCAAGAGAAAAGACTAGTAAACACACATTCACAGCAGCAGGCCTAAGAGTTAAAACAGATTACAGCAAATAAAAGTACGCACAAGTAATACAAAAATGACATCATACAAGTAGAGAAATAACAGAGAATCTCTGCAATACTGTCTAATGGCTTCCAACATAAAAAGAGCCCCAGATGCAGTTTGTGCCTGCTGTTCTCTTCAACTCTTTATAAAGTCACTGCATACAGCACCAAGATCCAGAGGGACAGTGGGTAAGTTGACTCAAACAGCTGCTGGTACTTCTGGAAACGAGTTAGTTTGATTTCTGCAGATACTGTGCAAGTCAATGTTATTACTACACAAACTCCAAATCCCAAAGGAGCATTAGGGTGCTGCTGCTATGAACAGGCAGACAAGAACATCACTGGCCAGCAAAACGGGTAGGAGAGCACTGTACTGTTCAAACTGGACAATCACGATGTTCCTCTTCCTAAGCAGCAGCAGAGCGGTCATTCCCTCTACTCTACAGGCTCCAAAAGCATTACCCTGAAATACAGGCGCCCCCATAATATGAACTTTTGGATGACAAACCCCTGAAAGAGTTTCGGTTTTGATTAAAACGGATGTTCAAAACCCACCATACTCTTTGGTAGCTCCAAGTTTTCATTAAGTGTTTGCTATTTTATATTTTCTTTCAATTTTACATCTCATTCCCTTTAGTAATAAGGCCTCACATATGAATTAAATTTAATAACCAGAAATAAGCACGAATGCAGGCATTATTCTGCTTAAGTCTGACACTGAGGTGTCTCTCAGTCTTATGTTTTTAAGCATATATATACTTTTAATTCATACCGAGTTATATATTTTTTTCTATATATAAACCAGCTGTGATTTTCAACTAATTTCTTACCATCACCAGGCCTGTTTTCATAAACAAAAGAAAGCAGGAACTTAGATGGCAGTAAATCGTTTTGACCCCACAGAATGTACACATCTTAGTATGATTTTGATTCTTCCCAGTTCTGACAACGATATGATATATATGACCTTAAACTGGTTCACCAGCAGCAGTAATTGGTGGAACTCAGCAAAATGACAAAGTCGAAACATTCATATGTATAAAACAGTTAAGTAAGAAAGAAGTGGTGTCGAACTGTGTATCGGCTTCAAAAAATCCTTCTGTAATTAGATATGGTATACAGAAATTTCCTGGGCAGTGACAGAAATACCCAAAGGAAGGAAAGACCAGTAAGGATCAGAGCAAATTAGTCACAGCCTGGACAGGCAAGTAGCTTCCTCCCTTTGCCCATCAGTGTGCTGGACTCCGTTGGGAAGACTGTACTGTTTCGCACTGGTTCTGCAGTATATGGAAGTCAGGATAAGCATATCAAACTCATATGCAGTCACAACGAGTTAAATTTTTTCAGAACTCAGGTGTCTGGAGTTGGAGAAGCCAGCATATTGATCAAACCTTCTCCCAGGACTATAAAGCAAACTTGGAAAATATTTAAGCGTTTTCTAAATGAAAAGAAACATATGGGAAGTAATTAGTGAAAAAAGTTAAAAGAGAATCTGTAAAAAAGGATTCAGGGTATGTCACCATATTTGAGAGAGAGCACCTTAAAGCAAAAAAAGTATTCTTAAAAAGAACTGCACATAATTTTTGTAAGGCAGAAAAGGAAAAAATAAAATCCACCAGCTGTATTTCTAGTAAGGGACCTAAAAATAGAGAAGACATACAGTGTGATTATTCCCACGTGGTTAGTCTTCACATTGTTTTCTTTACCAGATAGAAATGCAGGACCATTAAAAGTCTGAGTCTTTAGGATGGCTTAAGTTAGAAGTAGCAAACACCTAGGGAACCTTAAGACTGGTCTTTCCAGAAGACCACACAGCTGCCTACACCATTTAACTTGCTATCACTGATGTACACCCAAAACCTGCAAATGAACTGCAAGAATTGGCTTCCTTAGTAAGATTGATATTGACACAGTACACGCTTATTACTATTTATTCACTGCCTTGGCTGAAAAGTATTTTACTTATAATTTTTTATTTGTATTCACATGGCACTTCAAAAAGGCAATGTTAATTCGATGCAGTAGTAGCAAAATTTTTAGGGAATAGAAAGTTATTTGTAACTTTCCCCTGCTTAAAGAAAAGGTTGCATTCTTTGTTTCTCTAGTTTTCACATTCCTCTCAAGTTCTGAAGTTCAAATTATATCACCAACATGCAAAACCAGTCAGTTTTCCATATAAGCACTCATTGAGGTTGAAATAAGCATCCCAATATGATCATAATTTAATGTCCTGAAACACTTTGTCTTTCCGCCCCTAAATGGTCTGAGCAATTAAAAAACTCTGAATCTCATGACTAACATAAACTCTTTTATTTCAGGGTCTTTCTTATCAGCATTATCTCCATATTTCAGAGACTGAGCTCACACAGAAGAGTCTGGAGAGGTAAGCAGACTGTGGCGAGAGTCACCGCTGAGGCTCTGGATAGGCCAAGCTACTGCAAGAGTGGTTCTGCTCCCTCAGCAGCCACCAGTGGCCGTATCAAAAAAACGTGTGCCATCAAGGAGAAGGGTGAGACAGAGGAGTATATGCCAATCTCCATCTCACCCACAGGAACTCAGCATGACTGACCTCTAAATTAACATTAAGAGGTACTCCTCACCAATCAGAAAGTTCAAATTCTACACAGCCATTCTTGTAGCTCTTTACCACAACACCAGGCTGCATTTTTAAGTACTTACAATTAACTTTATACCATAAACTTCAACATGTCCAAATTGATACAAATATTCTTTCCCAATGCTCTCAACTAACTACCCTTTGCCTTTGAAGACTTTCCAATGGTAGGCAGGTTCATTTATAAGCACTTCTATGTTTCCCTATGCCAATGCACTCTTTTAAAATGTCAGTCTTCTATTTCTTAGCTAATTTCACATTTGCACAGTTCTATTCTCAAAACACCGTCAGCAGTACTCAACACCTAACCCTACTAATGGCTGGACATCACCTGTAATTGGCCAAAATCAATACCAGCCTCTGAAACACTGGTGACAGTTTCACAGCGCAATTATCATCTTTGAATTTCACGTTCAAATAATTACCTTAAAATTATGAGAAACAATCGTCAAAAATGCAAATACCTACTGGCACTCCAATACATATATTTACTTTTACTTGAAAATATGTAGCAATATACAAAGTTGCCCCAACTAATCATATTAGCTTACAGATTGCTGAGTATTTTATTTGTAGTCTCTTCCATTTAATACATTATCAACACAACTCCCATTTTTTTCTGTAAGTAGAAGGAAAGAAACCTCACTCCAATAAGCAGCGGTTCTTTAAGATGTGCTGTCCATACATAACACTACACTCCCCACACTCCTGTCCTATACACCCAAGTGAGCAGAATTCTAGCCCGATGTGCCTATTCAGGCTGTATTTTTGTGTTCCGTGCAAACAGCATAAAAAACCCAAAATTGTCAGGACAAACCATTCCTGACTTTTGCCAATATAGTGTCAAGGTGTTAAAGGCCTTTCCAGTACCAAGAAAATGCTGCCATACAGTTACTACCAAATCCCCTATTTTCTGCCTTCGGAATCCTAGATTTGGCCTTTTCTGGGATGTAAAATGTACCGAATGTTTTCAAAATCCGAGCTGCAGGAGCCAGGCACTGCTGCTTGTGGGGGAAGCTGACTGTAGGAGCGGGCACAGTCAGGCACAGCGATCCAAAAAATGTGGTGTGAGGGGGGTAAATGCAAATAAATACAAGACAGGATTAAGAGCTTGGGTGAAAGGAAACTTGGAATAAGGCAGCGTGAGATGGCAGGGAACGTGGAACACAAGAGGGATGAGAGCGGTATAAAGGAGCGACAAAGCAGCCCTCTGGGTTGGAAAGCATTGGGGCAGAGCTCTGGGCTGCAGAAGACGGGCGGATTAGGGCTACGGGAGCAGCAGAGGTTGATGTACCACAGAGCTCACCCTCCCCCAGCACAGCTGACCTTGCTGTGGGCGCTAGGACAGTCCCAGTACCATTGCCCCCTTCCTACCGCCTTCGGCCATGGAAGTGGAGCGACCCTTGGCCATGGCCTTTATGAGGGCAGCACATTTCGAAGAAGCCTGATCGTTTCCTCTTCTCTACACGTGGTCTGTTCCCGGTAACTCACTAAGAGCTGTCTGCTAAGATGCAGGTGAGTATTTCAAGATATTCTCAGCAAAGATTCAGGCACAGCTCACCAACACACCAACGGTCCAGCCGTTACATAGTACTTTGTGAGGGCAGACAGCAGGCATCAAATACTTCTTCTGTATCTTGCTGGGAGGTACACCTTGAGGACGCCACTTCAGCTTGACCTGAACCCCAAACGCCGACCCCTTCAGACTCCAAGGGCTGCCTTGCAAGTCCGCTCGGGCTATCAAACAGGGCCGTGCAAACTGTGGAGCTGAAAACATAACTTCTGAACAGTTCATACGCAAACCAGTTGGCTATACGGATCCTAGTGCTGCTGTGCAGACTACGGAAGGAGGTTTCCAGAAAGGAGCATGCAGAGAAATAAAGGAGCAGGGTGGAGCCAGGAGCCGCCGCCTCTCACAGGAGCAAGTTACTGCAGATTAGCCGAACGCGGTAACTTGCTCCTGTGCGAGGCAGCAGCTCC